AAAAACGGTAGCGCCTCAGCTGGGGCGGATTGATGTGTATTTCTGCTGGAGGGCGCCACGTGGCGAGTGTATGTTTTTTATATTTACAATGCGACGTGAGTGTAGGTTGCTTCTATGCCACTTGTGTATGGTACTAAATATATGGAATATAAATAAACCACAAAACGAATGGCAGCGCAGCTCACACAGGAGCGCACAGAAATAACTTTTGACCCGTCCCATCGCCCAGTCCACCTACTAAACAGTAAACACATTAGAGATGAGTCAAGCCACATCACACGCTAGTCATACGCCATATCCGACCAAAAGTCACACACATTACACGCAGCATGTCAGAAGGCACGCACTACATACGAGATACGTTACGAGGTACGTGCGCACTACACACCTCCTCGGGCAAAGAACATCTGGCGTCTCAGTCATGGGCACCCATTCGTTCAGGAAGACAGGCGAACTTCAGAGGGACAGCATGCACCACACGGCCATCAATTCCGTAATGGGCCACTAGAGTAGGCACGGTGATGGAAGTTTCGTCACGGCGCGTAGCTGAGTAAACACGGGATGACGGGCGGTTAAATCAAAGGACAGCACAGGCCCACAGGGCCATAAGGTGCGCTCCGTACTGCGTGCTCCTTCAAAGGGGCAAAGTGCTTGATGTGAACGGCAGGAGTGACTTATTTAAGGAAATCAGGAAGAAAACTCATGACGGAATCTTCCGAGATATCAAGCGGAAGCAATAAACAAGTGCAAATTTGAATGAATAGACAAAAATTAAACTTGATTCGCAAATACGAGTATGCAAGGAATACTTGGCAAAAAAAAAAGAGAAATACGTCTCAGACTTCGCATTCATTACCAGTAAATCTTTTCTCAGTCATAAAATTCATCAATTTCCTCCGAATCTGTTCCCTTGACAGCAAAGCCCGCACATCGCCAAGTTCCCATCCCCACAAGCCACATAAGCGTGCCAAACAAAGCACATCAGACCCGTCGCCGCCACCGACACTGCCCGTCGGTCTCGACGCTGCCACCGTCGGTTTCGACGCGCGTCGGGCCGGCTTAGTTTGCAGAGCCCCCCGCACTAACAGCAACCGATGGCGGCGGCCTCACAGCTGTTTGGGACAAACACTGACACTGGACAGAGTCCTGACGTAGGCAGACAGAGAGACAGCTGACTAATAATGCCGGCCACGACGGCGATGACGATGACAAGGACGACAAAAAGAAATATGACGACGATAACGACGATGATGAAGAACATGGCAAGATAACGACAATGGCAGACGACAATAATGAGGCTCGTGTTTTTTAATTAATGATTTTTTAGCTTTCTGTTTTTTTTTTCTTTCAGAGGTTTTATGCACCTGGTAATGAGAATGGACTCAGGCGTCAGGGTAATTTTCCTCCTATTTTAGCTCCCACTTCCCCTTGTTTCGTAACATCATATCCGTAGCGTAGCAAATGCTAACCGACAATTAAAAGGCCACATAATTCAAGAAATCATAACGTTATTTCTGAAAGCATCGTTTCATAATTTCACCAACAAGCTAAACTAACTAACCCATTCTAATAAGTCCAGCGTCTTGGTAAGTCTAGCCTCTGCGTGCCAGCTCCAGCTCAGTCAGATTGCAGCCCGGCGCGGTGGGACTCACATTACAAAACATGTTTACCAGTGAGGCGATAAATTACGCACCCAGCCGAGCTTAGCGGCGGTGCCGTGCCAAATACCCGCACGAATTTATCATCCATAAATGGTACGGAAAGAGGGAGCTGAAGGAAAGAAGAGAGCAAGCGAGAAACAGAGGTGGAAGAAGAAAAGAGGGGGAGAGAGAGGGGGAAGGAGAGGAGAGGAGAGGAGAGGAGAGGAGAGGAGGGAGGAGAGGGAGAGAGGGCGGGTGCAGTTTCGTGGTTACTAAGAACCTTAGGTACTCAACATCGTCGCATAGGTATTCCGTAATAATACAATGTTTATTCCCAACCACGAGACCCCTTATTTCATGTGACAAGGCTTTTAGCAATCTCTGAAGTTTTTCGTATCACGCCTGGTGGCGCAGTGGGCAGCGATGCCAATTGCCAGCAGATCCACGAGGGTGTGAGACTCGAAAACAAGCCCACGTTCGGGCTCGAATACGATCGGCAACGCACGAAAGTGTACCTACGTCACTTTTAAAGGGACCCTCCCACCTTAACATTAGATTTGAGTTGAGATAGCCAAAATGGGGTCCCTGGCTCACAATTACCGGTTTCGGCACTCACAACATCGAGAAATGCCTTAAATCGGAAATATTGAATTTCAAAATTGCAGCATTTTGATTCAGAGGGGCTAATGCTTAGGAATACCCCTCTGAATGTGTGACGTCAGCGCAAATATCTAACGATTTTTAAATGTTTGACTAAAACGTTTTGTAGCACGCGGTGGTATATGCTATTTGCGCGCAACATCTGCCGCAAACGCCGCACTTCTAAAATAAAGTCGCTAGAAACAGCGGAGATCCCAAAAAAGTAAACAAAAGTAAAAGTCTAATATCTTGAAAACCGGTGAATATTTTTCGGTGAAATTTGGTAGATATTCGTTTTCGCTCTTTCTGAACCGAGCGACATCACTTTCATGCCAATTCATAAACTTTTTTGAAGGTAGGAGGGTCCCTTTAAATTATACGCACCGCGCGTCACAACGAAAAATAAATGTTCACGAACTTATACCGTAAACGTCAAGAAAGGAAATACCCACTTGTATGCAAGGCAACGACAAAAAATACACACACGTAGGTAGGTACGTCAAACGATTGATATGAATCCCTGCAGCTGTAAATGTTTGAAGAAAGCAGAAGAGTTGGCGCGAATGATGTAGCATTTGAGCACAAGCAGGGCTTCGCTATTAGGTAATACCGAAAACCATCCAACTACATCGAAACCCTGTCATTTCTGCATCGCGACCGTGCATGAGCCAATGACGTCATACGGATCCTGGCGGTGCCGGATTACAAGACCAGATGGCGTCACGCCGCATAGGTAATACATTCCATGAATCCCCGAATCAATAACGCTGCGGCTGTCATGGCCCATGGTAACCGGGGCTGATTTGGTGGCGCAGAGGGGTGATCAAATTAAAAACCTGAGTGTGTATGGATCAAATGCTGTCAAAAACCTACAAACTGTGCCACCGAAGCATACAATTTATGGACTACAAACCGCCACAAGATTCAAAGTTCGAGCCATCAATTATCTGAGTATCCATACGAGTGTGGTGTTGGTGAATGTTCACCACCCCATATTTGGCATGAGCGCGCCACTGGCGGCCTGCAGCCCGCTGGGCGCGCCTGCAGCCCGCTGGGCGCGCCTCTGCCGCGCGGCGCCGCGACCCAGGGCGGGTCGGCGCTGGCCGGAGGAGGCAGTCTGGTGAGGGGCGCGACACGGGTCGGATCTGTTGCTGCAGTGTGAATTCAGTGGGTCGGATTCTGTTACTGTTACTCCAGATACGGCAGTGTGAATACAAGCCTAAAGAAGACACGGTCTCTGACCTAACACGAGTCTATCCAAATCATAAATCATTCGATGCGGGTGAGAATCGTCCCCGAAGATATAAATCTGTCTTTGGATATGGAGAAAATAGCGACACTGCTCCGGTGCGCGGTCAGCGTCCTTAACGTGTTCTCGGTGCCGCGTTCTGCTGACGGTGGCTGTTCGATCATTCAGTGTCAGCCTGCTCACGAGCACATACTGCTGACGTGGTGGTCCGTCAGATCCCTCACGGTACTACGCCATAGGCTGGTCACGTGCCACATGGTATATTCGGACTCCTGTTAATGCAGCTACAGGGCAATAAAAAGTCACAGCTATACGCACACTGGAATACGCTTAGACCATAGTAATTAAAGAATCTAATTTTGTTTGACTGTCGTAAAAAAGAGGGCTTACCCTGGTCGTTAGTGGGGCTAATAAAGCTTATTCTACTGAAATGGAAGCCGTCATGTTTGGTGACCGACGCCAAAACAAAGCAGCATTGAAATGCAATAAATTTTACAAAGAATCGAGTGGTGAGGGGCCCGGTGCAACAGCTTATAGTAATTTGCTTACCGCTACCTGGTGTACAGCGCCGAACTGCTAATACCATCGCCAGCAAACATGTGTAGATGGCGCTAGTGTCAACTGCTTTCAAGCCTCAGAAATACATAAAGACACACATTCAGTTCAGCAAAGGGCCGCTCGGCCTCTTTCTTGGCTGCGCTCCCTCTTTAGCTCCTATTACCCATACCAAAAGTACCGAGCATCATTTCAGGATCTCCTGTAATTAGTGGTTTAACACTTGTATACCAAACTGTTCAATGTTCATATGCACTGATCAAACTCAGGAAAAGTGGCATGAGATAGTCGAGTAGCAGTTTGCAGTAAAGGGGAAGGAGCGATCAATGCAATCTGCGAAGGTATCCAAAGCCAACAAAATGCAAAACCAGACAAAACTTTGTGGCTACTTTTAATTTAACATTTGTATTAGATCCCCCCAAACGTGCAAACTGCAAAATGTACTCTTAGGTTAGGCTAGGTCATTGGAAGATCTGAGGGGGGGGCAGGGGGGCATTTAGAGCAAATGTTCTCACTTGACCCATAAGCTGTTATCAATAAGAACTTTCCCACTTTTAGAATAGAGAATACTTCACTTTCATTAGGTGAATATTTTCATCTTAAACTGTTCAGTAGTACACCCAGACCCAAGGAATCAGAACCTGAGAAAATGTCAGAATTTTCCAAACTTCTGGGGTTATACCCTTCCACAGCATCTAAAACTCCCTTCTTGGATTAGTTCTGCCAATTAGTTGGGATAGGTTTTGTTATGTAGGTACCTACCAACCCATTTCATTTTTTTATGGATTCAAAACAGTCATAACTCGTGACAAAGATTTAGGTATCCAGAGAAGGGTTTGCACTGGAATCAACAGAAAATGCTCAATATGGCATAAATTAGCATAAAAAGCACAAACCTCAATCCACACACCACTCACCTAATTGATGCAAATTCTTTGAGTGCAAATGAGCCACCAAGAACGATGGCAACAAAAGGGGCACCCACCCTTAGCATGCGGTTCTTGAGCAGCCTCTGCAGCCTTGGAGGAAGCTGTACCATGCTGAGCACTGAAAAGTAGGAGATAAATGAGTCACAATCATGGTTACTTGGAAATAGGACTGTATAATATGATGGACATTCGGGGGAGGTAAATAGGGTGCATATTTTGAGACCGCAACACAAATTGTGGCACTTTTTAAGACATGGGGTCTGCTCCCGTTGCTCCTCCAACCTCCTCCAAAGTCCAAACTCCTCTAACCCTCCTCTCGTTTAAAAAATTGTTTCTATAGCTCCTCCAGATTCCTCCAAGCTTATCTTGATTCCACATCTCACCACCACTAGTTGCCTCCTCGCTCATCCCAAACGAAAGTTGGATTTTTGGAGGAGGCTCTGCGTGGAGATAGTTGGTGCACGTACTATAAATGTGAATTGTTTATAAATGAGATTTAAGGGAAGTGGAAATAATTTTAGCGATTGATGAGGCTGTGATATCTTTTAATAGTAGTATGCGATAGTAATCTATGGTCATTTTATTAGAAAGCATTTAACTCTTGATTTATGTTTGCACGCCATAAATCGCTGACTGTTACAGCCTGCAAGCAGCTGATTTCCTCGCAAAAATGTTCCCGTGGTTCCTCTGAAATGGCTCTCCTCCAAGCTCATCCAACCTGATCAGATTTTTGGGAGGTACGACGGGAACATATCTGTGATCCAATGTCATGCCAATGCCATTCTACTGAAATGCACAAATGAAAGAATGAAAAGTACCTCACCTAGCAGCTACGATTGTGAGAATTGAGATGGAACTTTATTTAAAACTCATTTTTGAGAACACATAGCTACATAGGTACCAATAATATAATTATTCACATGACAACTGACAACACAGCGGCATACCCTTTGCCACCCTTTGCCTTGACCCATACATACATATATGTTCACAAATTTAACAAAGTAGCTACCGGATATGCTTCAGCCAAGAAAACTCGTCTTTAATTGGTTGTTTTCTTTGTTTTTTCAGCGTTGCTAGGCAACATAGAGACAGTTGAACATTCTTCACGTACAGCTAAAAAAGAAGAACATCATGTGAGTTTGGCGCACTTGCTACATTTTAGGAATGAAGATAAGCAGCAAGAAAATAAAATGCTTAGTAAATGATGTTATGATTATGACTAATGAGTGATGATCAGCAGATGATGTGATGATCAGTGATGATCAGAACAAATAAATGCTCCTGACCCTGCCTTTATATTTGTTCTGTGAATGGTAGTAAGGGTCTTGCCGGAAATACGGAACGTCATACTTGCTTGCTGCAGCATCCCAGTAAACATGCCGACGTCGGCCCGACGTCGGCCGACGTCGGGGTGACGTCGGCAACTCGGCATCGGCATGCCGACGTCGGCCCGACGTCGGTCCAACCTCGGCACGACGTCGGCTGGATGTCGGATATGCCCGCATGTACCGACGTCCAGCCGAGGTCCAGCCGACGTCGGGCCGGCGTCGGACCGAGATCAATTGCTGAGGTCCAGCCGACGTCGGGCCGACGTCGGGGCGACGTCGGACCGACATCGGCCGCTGTTTTGACCGTTGAAATAATATAAAATACATGTTTCATGTTTCATAAAGAGCTTCTGTATTCAAAATATCCTCAGGAAACTCAAATCTTCCTCCACGCCGCAACCCCCTGATCCGGACTGGACGGGAAACTTTATCTCATTTGGGATTGCCCGTAAGCCGAGCTCGCCCGTAGCCGGGTGCGGCGAGTGCTTGGGGGCTGCTCGGCCTATCCTTTGGTCAGGCTCAGCCCCGGCAACTCACCAGGGCGGGGCCCAGTTCATATAGAAAGGCCAGTCGGCAAGTGTCACTTTGCCAAAGTGCCACTTATCAAAGGGACACTTTGGGAAACGTTGGTGCAGGTGTGTAAGAGTGGCTATATGAATCCATTGTGGGGCAGTGGCGGCGCCACGAATTTTCGCCAGTGGGGGCAAGCTTGAGGTGACCCAACTGTTGTCTGATACCCCGATGCCTTGCCCCTAGATGTTGTCATTCAAAATTACCATAGTTTTGTAGCCTTGTTTGCATCATCACATCCTATAGTACCTACCTATCATGAATATTCCACAGGTCTTTTGTTCGCAGTTTTCAACATCAGCCAAATTTTGTGGGGGCAAAAACATAGTCTTGCCCCCACGGCCTCCTGTCAGTGAGGGCAGTCTGCCCCCACTGCCCCCACGGTGGCGCCGCCCTTGTTGTGGGGTCGCCCTCCAGTGAGTGTCACGTAACAGCAATGGGACCAGGGACTCTATATGAACTGGACCCAGGGTGCTCGCCAAGAAGACCAATGTCTCATCCTATCATCCTTCCGGCTCTGAAATGGTCTTGTCAGACCGAAAGGGCATAACCCAACAAAACAAACTATATTTGATATCTGGTTGAGTGGTGTAGTGGTTAGCGCACTAACCTCGCATTCCAATGACACAGGGTTCGAATCCCATCGCCAGATGATACTTTTGGCGTGTTGTCCCAGTAAACATGCCGACGTCGGCGACTGGGGGGCTCGAATCCCGCCGCCGGTTGATACTTTTGGCGCGTTGTCCCAATAAACATGCCGACGTCGGCCCCGTCGGTCCAACGACAAACGATCTCGTCAACCTCGGCAAACGACCTCGGCCCGACGTCGGCTCGACGTCGGCTGGACTTCGGCTGGATGTCGGAACATGCGGGCATATCCGACGTCCAGCCGATGTCGGGCCGAGGTTGAACCGACGCTGGGCCGACGTCGGGCCGAGCCTCGGCCCGACGTCGGGCCGACGTCGGCATGTTTACTGGGATGTCAGACGATGCCTACTTCTATTCTAATTGTTGGACCAAATTTTGATCGAGACAGTACCTAAGGCATACAGCGCAGCCAGCGGTGAAACCTCTAAAATACAGCGCGCCAGGGCCCTGTTTCACCGGTGATAGCAGCACGCTGCTATCAAATTGCTCGAGCTGACGTAATGTGATGACGTCATACTACTGACGTAAGGGGCAATTCTGGCGCACGATTGCCGCAATATTGTTTTACGTCATCAGCTAAATGTTCGAAGTTAATGTCCAAATTTTTCCTAAACCCAACTTCTTTTAAATACATCATATTGAAAAAATATATATCAAAAATATATATACTATCATGACTGCGTAAACTCTTACTTTTAGGCTCATACGTCACTTAATGCCGCCGCCAAGGTCGCGGCAATCGTGCGCCGGAACTACCCATTACGACAACAGTATGGCGTCACGACATGACGTCAGCTCGCGAAACGTGATAGCAGCTTGCTGCTATCACCGGTGAAACAGGGCCCAGGAGGATAGCATATGCCGGGGTCTAGGCTCTATATAGTCTATCTACGTTTTTCCTGGAAGAAATTCGATCCGGATGCAGCATTGTTGTTTCCCAGAAATACGCAGCTTTTAGAACCTCGGTGTTTAACCCGCGCGGGGCTGGGGGGAGGGATAAATTTTACCCCCCCTCGCGAATTTTTGCGATATCTCAAAAACGGCGGCGCGCAGCGCCGCCAAACTTTCAGTACCTTTTCTTACATCAATTTGACACGTTCCCTGAAAATTTGAGCGAAATCCGTCGGAAAATTTTTGAGAAATTGACGTTTTAGTGACGTCATGTTCGCCATTTTCGCCTCAAAAACGGCAAAAGTTCAAACGCCGCTAACCAGGGGCGCGGGAACTACTTTCCGACTGGGGGGGCACACCATAATAGAGATTAACCTAGGGTACCCCCAAATCTAGTTTTCTCACCGGTTTTAGGCCACTTATTTTTCACCCCTCGGCTTTTTCAACAAAAAAAGAAAACATTTGCAAAAAAAGTGTGGTATTCCGTCTCAAAGCTGTGGGGGCACCGCCCCCACGGCCCCAGAGTTGGGGGGGCAAGCTGCCCCCACTGCCCCCCCGGCTCCCGCGCCTATGCCGCTAACATCTTCATTTTTAAAGGAATCAAGACGTAACAAAAAAGGTTATACGTAATTTTACTTTGTCTATCAATTGGCTATCTCGGTTTTTTGAAAATTTTGGATTTTGGCCTAAATTTTTTTTTCAAAAAACTGACTTTTTTGGGAAAATCATTATAAAATCCAAAATTTTGAGTCTATCGAAAAAACCGGAATATATGTCAGAGAAGTGGTCTATGTGCATCTACATACCAAATTTTAGAAGAATCAGTTCAAAAATGTGGGAGTTATTCAAAATTTTATGACGTCACGACACACAAAATTTTTGAAAAATGACTTTTTTGGAAGTTCTAGACCTCGTACGGAAACAAAAATAGCACCATTCGATTCGCCGTGAAAAACTGCATCAGATAGACACCTTTTTAGGCCTTAACAACCAACTTCAAAATTTGACCTCACTTGACCTGATCTTGACCTGACCTCGACCTGAAATTCATCCAGAGGTGGTCCATATCACTTATTGAGTGTGCCTATTGAATTCTATGAGTAAAATGACCCATAAAACATGTGTCGCACATGCCCTTTTCTATATTTTGTTTTTTGGTGACCTGACCTGACCTGACCTGACCTTGACCTTGACCTCTGAATGATATTGTATGCAACGAATATTGTCTTGGTAGCCTAAGAACACGTTTTGGGCGATCAGTCTCAGTCCATGACTCCATTCTTCGGCAACTACGGTGCAAGGCCGATACTGTAGAAACTTGCAATTTGTACCCTTGACCTGACCTTGACCTTGACCTCAAACTTTAAATTAAGTACATGTTTTTAGTAGTTCGTGATGAGAGCTTTCGATTGGCGTTTGAATTTTCCAAATCGGACCATTAGTTCGGGAGATAACAGGGGGGTAAAATTTACCCCCCCCCCCAGCCCCGCGCGTTCGGCTGGAGACCCCAGCCCCGCGCGGGTTAAAACCTGCTATCTAAATACACTGTGACTGTGTTATAAACAATAACGTGAATCTTGGGACAATCCCGCCGACCACCCATTCATTCATTCCCCCGGCACGTGGCGCCCCCACAGCAGACATCCGTCCACGTCAACTGAGGTCACAGAAAGTAGGGCTACCAAATTCCAGCACAACTAATAAATCCCTTCAGAGTAAAAAACAATCATAAGTCGCTTATAAGGTTTGCTTGTTATGATAGTCCTTTATTTATTTTCCTGACTCATATTTCATACTATTACTACTTTTTTGGCCAAAAGTCGATCAAAAAGTAAGAAACGAATCCCATTTTCAGATATTTGTTTCACTGATTTTTAGCCTTCACAGCAGAACTTCCACATTTTCCTTTCCTCACAGCTGATTAGCGTCGCACAAGCGCATCATCTGTCTCCTGTTTCACTTGACGCCGGTAGCTTGAAGAACTGTGAATGTGAGTTTTGTTGATAATTTAGAAGTTTTATTTAGTGCAGGTATGTATTCCTTTGCAAATATTTGTCTGATAACTAAATGTTAATTGTTTGGCGTTTTTGCACGACAATATGTTGAAAGAAGGCTCTAATAGTTCAATATCATTGCTTGTGCCACTTTCGTCATTTCGTTTTTAGGTTTGTTTATCATTTTGCATGCCCAGTGGCGGGGGGGGGGGGCAAAATGGGCATTTGCCCTCCCCCAAACGGCATAATATTAACATTACGTCTATGGACGAGGCATGGAAAGAATCGAAAAATTGTTATGGTTTGCCCCCCCCCCAAACTCTGAGCTGGATCTGCCTCTGTGCATGCCTGTGGTAGGTAGCTGATTGGTGCATCAAGCCAGTGAGCTTTTGAAAAGGTTTTGTTTCACAAGGAAATATGTGCTGTTTTCAGACAATGAAGCACATGCTAGTCTTCGCCGGCCTTCTGGCGGTGGTTGCGGTGAGCCAGGCCGATGTCACTGCTGAGGACCAGTTTAAGGTCGAGGAGGATAGCATAGCCAGGGTCCTGGCACAGAAACTGGTGAGTACCGTTAAATCAGTATTGGTTAAAGATCTGAAATCTCTAAAGCATAACTTACTGAACTTGGCATAAAGGGAATCACTAAACAGGCTGTGTAGGTAGGTACCTTACATTTTCCATGGAAGTGGTAGGGAAACAAGCTATGCTATTGCCACAATTGCAATGGATTAAAGAGAAGGAAAATATCTAGATGCATAAGAAATCAATTTAATATAAGTTGCCATTGGTTTTCTGTCTATTAATTTCTTGAGTAGGTAGGTAAGTAAATGAGTAAATTTGACAGAACTTAAAGGGACTATCCCACCTTTAACATGGGGTTTGAGTTGAGATAGCCAAGTTTGGGGCGAGGCTCAGAAACCACTATCTATCTAGGTTGCAACCCCCGCGGCCTCTTGGTGTTGTAGAAATTTGTTCCCTTCATTTGAAAATGGGCCTTGTACAAGGCCCTATCTTCAACATGGAGCGACCGTTAGTGTGACGTCACCTCGTTTAGTCATTCTGATTTAAATGGGTTTGTTCGTTGAAAAATCGCTTAAAATTTGGTCTGAACTTTGTTGTGGTGCCTACAGAGTAAAAAGAATCAGCTTTATGACAGTAATGTGGCCTGGGGAAGGAGGTAGTTTTGGGCTGTGACGTCACATATTTGAAAGTTTGTGTTTGGATTATGGGAAGCCTAAGATGTCGAATGAAAAATAAATGCCAGAACCGTGTTCCTGGTCATCCAATCTATAAAGTCGGGCACAATTTAACTGGTTTTAACAACATTTTAGAAGGTGGGATAGTCCCTTTAATGCACATATCATTCTAATATAAATTGCCTGTAGATGGTAAATGAGGATGCACTAAACTAAGCCCTGCACATGCACACATGGAAAGTGAGGAAGTGATTTGTGACTGAGAGGTGCTGTTATGTTTGCTGCTGTTATCGCCTTGGCTGCTGTAACTGATGAGTATTGTCGGGGGTTAAAGTGAGGGAGTAAACTCAGACTTACCCGACATAAAGACGTGGAGTTCGGGAACAGAATGTATTGAACCAAGCGAACACAAGTTTATATACGACGGACACTTGGGCGTTGGCCGATTCTTCTTTGGGCGGTGGCCGCTACGCGGAAAGCAACGATTGGACGAGAGAACAAGGGCTGCAACGCTATTGGTTGGATAGAAGTTGTTTTGGAGCACGCGATCCTTTTTGTGAGGCGGGCTGGCGCCGGCTTGACCCGACTCTGGTATTGATCCAGTAAGTCGGTCCGCACGAATGTGGCTGTTGAGGTAGGACAAAGGACGCGAAGACAAAAGGATATATGTAAAGGATGCCGCACGACACATGTCACCCTCCCCATGAGCCGACGACAGGAGGCGTCACTATGCTGCACACCGATAAGTTACACACACACACACCGCAATGTCTATCCGGATGTCGCCATTGGACGTCAGGGCATCGCCTTCTTGGTGATCCTTGATGTTGGTCGACCTTTGATGTGGTTACGCTCGAACGCCAGGAGTTCCAGACACGCGAGCACGGCCGAGATGTCGGGCCGGTGAATCCGTTTTGTGTACTCAGGACGTGGCAGCCTGGCGATGCCGGCCGCCCGGTCAGGTTTCTTGGTGATGTTGAAGACCGGGGCGGACGGCTGCTGATGATCGGACCTCGGCGCGCTATTGACGCTGCGCCGGGCCGACGTGCTGCCACCGCGTCATGAGTGTGGTGGATTCCCGCATAGTTCACGTGTCCTGGCTGGTGGAAGACGACGAGCGTAACTGTGGTCGGTCTTGATGGTGGATCACCGATCTGTTGGCTGGCGAGGCGACGCATGGCGTTTGGTACCAGGCGCTGGTGAGAAACCTTTTCTTGTCGGGCAGTCTGCTTGTCTGTGTGACGTTGCCTGATGGGGCAGAGCGTCGTCTTGAAGTTGCAGAGCAGACTGCCTGAAGGCTAACGGGTTCCAGCGCCAGGTGGCGTGCGGTGGTGCAGGAGAGCTGGACGTCCCTGCTGCCGGGCTGGGCCCGTGCCAGGCAGGCAGGACGTGCTGCTCGGTGGCGGTCTTATCGGTGTGGCGAGCAGCGGCCTTTTGTCGGTCCCATGGACCCGGGCTGGCATGGCGGCAGGGCAAGGAGACTGACTGCGGCAAGGAAAGAACAATCGTCAAATTATGTTGCGGCGCACAGCCCAATACACTTAAATCGTTAAAGTTGAAAATTGATTGTACAAGTTCACAATACACATACCTCTGGCTCATCGTCAGATAGGCATGGAGCCAGGCTACACGTATATCAAGTACAGTGCACAGTTTTGTGAGTATATACATGGTCGGTCGGTGTATGCTGTTTTGGACAATGGCGAAGGCATTGTACGCAAACACTTGTGTCAGTTGACAATCGGACACTAAAGTGACATGTTACGCTACCGCTTACATTACATAAAAGACAACATAAGGTATGCATGGCAACTATGCTTGTTGCAGGACAGTGCATAACATGGTCAAACAATAATGCGAGTAGCGGAACATGTGAGTGCATAGGCTAATTGCCTTTGAACACGACTAGCGTTTGATAAGTGTGATGAGTAGTGAAAAAATAAATATAGAGGCCAAAATGCCAAGAAAAATATACAAAGTTTGGGTTAGGGTCGTTCCAATACTTTGTGTGGTCGACAGGATAGAATCGAAAAGACCACTAGATTGAATTAAAGCTGTGGAACGGCCAAAAGTTTCGTTGCGTTGAGTCAAACGAATAGTTGGAGCGTCCAAACAGAATGAAAGGGGCTCACAACTACGAATTTCATTGTGATAGAAACAAATACGTTCCTCGTGACAAGGCACAGAAGTAAGAAATTGTACCGTCACGAGAGAGCTTTCAGTAGTTAGATGAACTGAGCGGGTAGAAAGTGGGATTTGATTCAGTGAAACGGAAACAAGACCAGGCGCACAAATTGACTTTGCACGAACGGTGATTTTGGCGGCCACGGAGCATGAGTAACAACCCGTGACCGACTCGACTGCCTCAATTCGAGGACAAATTTTATAATGATGAAGGGTAATGCGCATGTTGCTAAACTTAATATGAATAACGACTGGAGCACTCTGAAGGAGAGTTGACTCGAGTGCTCCGTCCTTATTAACATAAAGGTGATGATTATGAACTGCTCGGGGAAGGATGTTAGGTCGTTGATCGCGGAGAACAGAAATGTAGCTCTGCGGGAGGTGACAATGTAATGTCGTTTCATATGAGTTGCAGTCAACTAAAAGAGGATTAAAAACGAAGTCAGTAGCGAGTGGTGTAGCTGCCTGGATATCCCCTAACTGACCAGGTACTGGTTGCGAGCTAGGGGATGCCGATTCCAAATGGGAATCAGAGGCATCATGAACATTTTGAACAAAATATGGGGATGGCAAGGATAAAGGTTGATCATATGTTCCTAAAACTGAGACTTGAATTCCAGAATTGGAAGTTGTTTGATCTGAAATGACGGTATCCACTAATTGATTGTCGACGGCTTCCGACAAAGTAATTAAAGGTTTGCAAGTATGCCCAGTAATTTTATCTACCCTATATGTTGCATTGTATTGAGGGATCAAATACCATCTATAATGCAGGCAGGGATCATAATGAATCACTGCACAAAAACGTGTCTTGGCTGGGACCGAAATGCAAGAGGTAAAACCAGGCCAAGACAAAGATTCTTTTGTAATATCGGGAAAATGTTCACGCCTGGGGAGGCACTTAGCTCCCCAGCTACAATATTCGAAATTTGGGCACACTAATTTTGTTGACAGGTGGACGGATACCGGGAAAGTGTAGTACTGGTGTATCGTTGACCAGTGACATTTGATGTCTTCGAATTTCAGCCTCAAGTAGTAAATGTTTGAGCCACTATCGTCAGAGAAAAACATACAAGTGGTTGAACCAATATTGTTCAGAGTAACTTGGGCTTGTCCTGAAATGTAACAATTTTCTCCTCCAGAAGCTTGTTTTTCGCACGCAGAGACTTGAGAAGTCAAAATTTTGAGTTCATTGCATCCATCATGGATGGATGAAGACAGCACTAATGGTAAACATAGGGCAAGAATAATGATGCTATATTTAATTTCTGGGGATATATTGATGCTCGTACTTGGCTCCTGGCGCGTTGGCTCATCCGTCGAAGCGGAAGAAAGAGCAGACAATTGTGAAATGCTTTTCTGAACACGATTACGTGTTGACTTACCTGCCATCGCTCCCGTTCGAAGGGAGAGACGGAAACAGGCTCGAATGAAACGGTAGATACCATATACAAAAAACAAGACAGTCCGTATCATGCTAAATATAGCTGCAAGTGTGTATCGAATGTAGATAAGAAGGAATCCCGTGACAAAGATGAGAAAACCATAGATAATGTACTGGAATGTAGGGGACATGCATGACAGATTTCTAAGCATATCCATGCAAAAGGTGCACACAATCCTTGAGCAGTGAGTTGAACTAGGGACAATTACCGAACCAGTTAAAATGTCACCGGATTTTGTGACGAACGTAAATTGTAGAGATCCTTCTGTGTATCGGAAGGACAATGGTAAGATAAACTGGTGAGAATCGGTGATTGGCTCTATGATTTCCAGTCCATCTTTCCTAGCTATGAAAGTGCCGGATGCATTAAAAGTAAAAACGGGATCATGAAATGAGACATGTACAAACTTGTTTGAAAATTCAGCTGTATCAATGCTGAGCAGCTTGCGGGACGAATGCTTAAGAACGGGTTCACGATAAATGCATGCTTTAAATGAAACAAATAATGGGTTGTCAAAACCAAAATCAGGCGTAACCTGTAAATAAGACACTATCTCTATGTGTCGTGTCAAACAAAAACAAGTGGATGCGCGGTTGCATTGGAACGTTGAACAAAAATCGGCATCTCCGCCACATGGCTGGGTCTCCGGACAGGCGCAGGGTTGTCGGTCCTGTCGTCCCTTGGAGATGCCTACGGTGCGGGTACAATCATAGGCAGCATGGTCCCCGAGTTTGTT